TATAGTTTATTAATTACTTGGTCGGAGTAGGTTTTTGTCTTAATCACATCACGTGATTCCCAATTCCAATCCATGGTATTGTACATTTTTCTAAGAATTTCTCCATATTTTAATGAGGATTATGATTATAAAACTGAAACTTGCATAAAATCGAGGTCCTTGTTGTTCTATTAATAAACTTTTTCCCATAATACATATAACAATTTCTTCATTTCCGTACATGCTCAATTATAAATAAAGAAAAGGTTTATTTATTTATTTATTTTTTTGTAAAATACACATATGACAAAAACAAATAAAACCCATATTATAATGAATCTATTCAAATTTGGTAGTTAAAATTGATTGAATAAGACGACTTCACACAGGACAGTACTTCGTAAGTGCGGCTTTAATTCCCAATTCCAATGGCTTCTTTATTCCAAGTGATTTTTTAAATTAATGTGGGTTTCATTCTTAATTAATCTTGATTAACCAAGTTATTGTATATGGTCATCAAAAAATATGACCTTCATATATACCATATTATATATATAAGGCTTTTGGAAGTGGTGACTCATTTCCACTTAGGAGTGGTACATTTTCACCTTAATTACAAAAGGAATAGGGAGAATACAAAGAAGTGGCAAGAATGGAAGAAAAGAGGAATGAGAGAGTAGGCATAAACATGCCGAGGTCGACATGTTTTTGCTCGGTACCATCAGTGAGAGAAGGTGTTTGTGTGGCACATTACTAGAAAGGCCCCTTATGTCCGACAAATATTACGAATGGAAATTTATGTCGGAATCAATAGGATTCTAACGAATTTTGACCAAATAGGAAATTCTAAATTACTAACACAATATTAATACCAACCGATTATCATGTCATAGAAAATCTATCGGAACTACCAATGGATATTTAATGAAATAATAATGTTATTTTAGAACTTCTCGGTTTTCATTCGGTAATTACCCATGAATCAAAAAATTTATTTCCAAATTTACATTATAAATAATAAGAAGAATTAATAAGAAAATAATTATTTACCACTACTTTAGTTTTTCATGTTATTATTAATTACAATTTATTAAAATTATTAATATTATTATTTTTATTATTACTCTTATTATTATGTACAGTTATCTTTATACTTTATAAGAAAATAGTTATGTACAAAATAATTTAATTCTTGATAATATTATTAGTTACTATTTATTTTAATAACAATAACCATCATCATCATCATTATTATTATTATTATTATTATTATTATTATTATTATTTGTAATTATCTTTATAGTTAATCAAAAAATAATTATTTAACAGTTTATTACTTGTTAATAATTACTATCTATTATATAAGTATAAGTATTGTTACAATTATAATTATCTTTATTATTGAACCTACAGATACATATGTGTGATCACTGGTATTTCATCAATTATGTACACATATAAAATAATAATAAAAATAATAATAATAATGATAATAATAATAATAATAATAATAATATATTTTTTTTGGAACCGATAAATATATTAAATAAAAAAGAGGACACCCTAGCAAGGGACTAGGCAACAACCCGCCGGAAAGAGTATAAGAAAAAAAAAAGAAAATACCCCTTTGAAATGCAAGAGAAAGGGCAGACAGTCCAATCAATCCAATTACATACTCTGTTTTTTTCTCCTATATTTAAACCATAAATACAGTATGGATTTAATTATATCCACCACTCTTTTTGGAAATGTTTTTATGTTGTTGAACACCCTGTCATTAAGAGCTATCTATGTACACCAAAACATACCATAGCAAATGTTGATTAACATCCTCCTCTTCGGACAAGTTCCCCAGCTAAAGGAAAAATCCAGAATCTCAGAAACATACGAGAAAGTAGAATGTTGGATTCCACACCATCTGAACACCTGATCCAATATGGAACACGCAGCAGGACATCTACATAATCAGTTATCGGTGGTCTCATCCATTACACCACAGTAGCTGCAATTATTATCCACACTGCTAATTCCTCGTTTGCGAAGATTAACTGTTTGTAGGGATCCGATCTAAGTTTGCACACTAAGCAAAACATGATACTTTCAGGGGAACAACTTTGTTCCAATGGAAAGGACCCATGATGGTAGAGGAGATTGAATTATCGATCCCCTGCCTCATGCTCACCATTGTGTATCGCCCTCCATTTGCCAAATCAGACACCCATGTAGCCTCCCTTGAGCTTACACCTCTTCTTACGACAACATTAAAAGGAATATTGTGCTTGACCAGATCAAGTTTTATCTTAGCAATAGAGCACCAGACACCTGACCTTGATCTACTAGCAAGAAAGTCGTATGTTTTGTTGTCAAGCCTATGAATAACTCGAATCACCTTGGCCCATAATGAGTTTGGTTCTGTTTTCATCCGCCACAACCATTTACAACATAAGGCAATGTTGAATGCTTTTAAGGAGCCAACATCAAGACTTCCCATATCCTCCGCAGCCGTTACCTTGTCCCAGCCGACCCAACGGATTTTCCTTAAGTTCTTCATGCCACCCCATAAGAATCGTCTTCTAATCCTCTCCAATTCATTAAGAATTTCACCTGGAGCTACAAAAAGAGAAAAATAATATGAAGGTAAGAATGATAGCACCAACTTGATAAGAGTAAGTCTCCCTCCAAAAGACAAGTTTCTAGCTTTCTAATCTGATAACTTTACATTGAATCTATTTATGATCGGACTCCAATGTTTCTTTAACTTCATGTTAGCAACCACTGGCACCCCTAAGTATGTAAACGGGAGGGTAGATGGCTCACACCCAAGAAGACGCACCCATCAATTTCCTTGTAGTTGCGATGCACCAATGCCGAAAACCCGAGATTTGTTGAAATTTACTTTTAGCCCCGAAGAAGCATGAAAGAAATGAAGGATGCGAGTCAGGTTACTTATATTTGTCTTTGACCATTCACCAATGAAGAGTGCATCGTCGGCATAAAAGAGATGAGATATACAGGGGCAGTTTTCATGGAGGTTCACACCTTTGAAGATGACTTTCTCACATGCTTCTTTCAACACCACATTCAACCCTTCCATAGTAATAATGAAGGGAAAAGGCGACAGGGGTTCACCTTGCCTTACACCTTTCATGATTTTAAACTCTTCTGTAGGACTCCCATTGACCAAGACTGAGGCTTTAGCAGAAGATAAACCACCGTGAATCCATGTCGCTACTTCATCCCGAAACCCATTTGATGTAGTGTCGAATCGATGTAGTCCCAGTTGACGGAGTCGAAGGCTTTATCAAAGTCAACTTTGAACAACAGAATTTTCTTCTTCAAATTCTTTGCCTAGGAACACACCTCATTGATAATGAGAGGCCTATTAAGGATGTTTCTCCCAGCCACATATGTTGACTGAGCCTCTCCTATGGTAGCACCAACCACTTGCTTTAACCTTGTCGCCAAGAGTTTAGAAACGATCTTATAGAGGCATCCGATCAAACTAATGGGTCTATAACCGTTCATCTTCAGGGGATCCTTGGTTTTGGGACCAAAGAAATAAACAAACCGTTACAACTTGGAGATAGTGCACCCACATGTTCGAAGTGTTTCACATAATTAATTATATTCTCTTCAAGGAAGTCCCAATGGGATTTAATGAATTTAAAAGTAAATCCATCGGACCCTGGTGCTTTGTCACTACCGCAGGCCCATACAGCAGCTTTGATTTCTTCCGGAGAAAATGGAGATTCAAGGAATTGAGAATCAGCAAGAGATAGTCGCACAAACTGACTTCTTGAATGTTTGGGACGGGAAGGATGCTTTCCATGGAATTTAGAACTAAAGAAACGAAAGGCCTCCAATTTAATTACATCCGAGTTGGTAGACCAGCACCCATTAATCATCAATCCTGTAATTTGATTTTTCCTATTTTTATTAATAACATATGCATGGAAGAATTTTGCGTTTTCGTCCCCATCCACAGCCCATCTAATATGAGATTTCTGCTTTAGATCCTTAACTGATCCCCTTTCCAAATCTTCGATTTTCTTGAATCCCTCTGCCAATTTCAGCATTAGTTAAAGTATCCAGTTCCCACACTTTATTTTTAATTTGATTAAGATTCTCCTATTCTTTCCCAAATTCCTTCTTTCTCCATTCTTTGATTGCATTTTTCACGTGCCTAATTTTGGTGGCAAAGAAAGAGTATGGACTCCCGAACCCCTTGAAGGTGGAATAAGCTGAGGTAATTACTTGTTTGAAACCATCTCTATCCATACAAGAATTAAAAAATCTAAAAGGTGATGGACCAAAATCCACCATAACTGAGGAAAGTAGGACCGGAGAATGATCAGATAATTCCTTGTCTAAAGCTGTCACGGATAACGAGGGAAAAGAATCAATGAAGTTTGAGCAACAAAGAAAACGGTCTAGTTTGCTAAGTTTCAGTTCCCTCGGACAAGAGTTTGTAAACTTATAGCCTCCAATTTTTAGATCAATAAGGCCCACCTCAACAATGAAGTTATTGAATGATGCTGTTGTGATTGGACAAAATTGAGAAAACAATCTTTCATCACGTCTGCGGACTGCATTGAAGTCCCCAAGGAAAACCCAAGCTCCAACTTTGCTGTTTTTGATAGTAATCAAGTCATCTCATGATTTAGCTTTATCAGAGACCTGCTGAGGACCATAAATATTAGCAAAATTAATCAGAATAGAAATGTCGGCCCAACACCCAGAAATAATAAGAATGTATCGAGATTCGACTATCTTAACGACCGAGAAGAGCTTCTTATCCCATATACTTAGGAGCCCCCCCCCCCCCCAATCTTCCAACTACATTAACTCCTGCATGCTCAAACTCATTGGAACTCCAACATCTAGCAACATCAATCCGCTCAACGTTTGACATTTGGGTATCTTGAATTCCAAAAAACGAGATTTTATATCTGTACTTAAGTCTTTGAATCCAATTCACCTTGTGGTCTTCCCCGAGACCTCTCACATTTAGAGTGATGCACTTAATTTATGCCCAAGCCCTCTCCAGACTCATCCATCACCTCATTGAGGATTGGATCATCTGAACAGATCTTGAAACCTACTTGTTGTACAATTTCAACTGTTAGTTCCTTTTCCTTAGAATAGGAGAAACAATCGATGCATGAATCCTCCTGAGGCATCAAAATAAGTGAAACATTTAGGTCAATAGGAGCAGATGTGGATCCATCAGCCACCGATACAGTGGGCATAGCAGTAGAATTGTAGGTAGAAATAGGGAATTTTGAGATGTTTGATTCCTTGGAGGGGAGATCACACGACGTCTCTTCCTTAATAAGTTTCCATTCTCTTTTGGGGAGACATACCTTGAATCACCTATTTTTGCAAAACATCCATATTTTCGATGTAACCCTGAATAAATGATTGGAAAATCCAATACATAAATGATGTATATTTTTTTCCAATCATTTATTGTTTGGTAACCCTGAATAAGTTTCCATTCCCTACATACTCCTTGTGTATGCCCAACATATTCAATGTAATTCATGTCCAACATAAGTGATGTATGCCCCACATACCCATTGGGTACAAAAAATGTACTACCAACCCCCATTTTCATCTTAACTTCACACAACCATAACTTCTTCATTCCAACTCCTTTTTTGGCATTCTTTATATGACTTGAAAGGTATTGCAAAGCACCAAAATCCTATCTAATGAGTATTGACTTAAAGAATATCGAATTAAGATTTTTTAATTCATGCTAGAAGCCCATTCTATAAGAGATCCATTGTCTTCCCTTTGGGTCCAACATATGAACCAAGGGCTAGACCTTAAAAGCAATATTTTCAACCTTTAATAAGGCCCAAATTTACTTTCTCAAATCATAAATCCTTTAAATGATTGAATTCCTATCCACAACCTTGAATTTAGAAATGGACCGAAATAGGGGATTACAAATCCCACCCACTTAAATGAGATTTCGTCCTAGAAGTTATTCCTTACTACTTGCATTGTCATACTAGTCGACCCTCTTATAATGCTTCTATTAGAGCCGATTCTTAGCATAAAATCAGACATGTTGCCAAAGAAATTAACCTTATAATTTTTTCCTCCACAATCGAAAGAAAACCCAACTGCTCTGCCAGAACACTAGGAACCTTAAACAGTGTTTGTCTTCTCAAAAGATAAAATTATCACATACTACATCCATAATATATTCGAATTCTTAATCCGAACCAAATGAAACTATTCTGACCTTGAATTATATTGTTACCAAACATCCATATTTTCGATCTACTAAAGATCTCCCGAGTCTCGAGCTAACCTACCATTTAACCGATGTATTGGATTTTCCAATCATTTATTGTAGCTGATAGCCTTTCACGAGATTGTACCACGAGGCTCCATTCAAGAGTCTATCTGAAAAATGTTACCGTTGCTTGTTCGCCAACATGGCTCCAACAGTCCTCAAGGGATGACATATTTGACCAACATACGAACATAAGAAAGTCCACTTCGTTCTAGGTGAATGCTACAAGCCATATCATGGACTTACCAAAATCTGACCTAGTCAATGACTTGTCCATTAGATAAGGGATCATATATTCCTCCATTCTAGATATCATATGAAATGAGACGTGGATTATAATTATTATCTCTATCCATTTGTTGTGTCCTGATTTTCGATTTATGACTACTGACTAATTAAATAAATCACATCAGTCCAGGTTTGGCCAAGCATTTAGGGGTGTCATCACTAAAACATTGAGGGGCCCATAGATATCGCTTTTATCCATCCAAGGGTAAAAGGAATGGATATACTTAGACTCATATGCTTATTCTACTACTTGTTGAATCATACACAAAGGCACGTTTTATAACATCGAGTTACCAATTCATTTTTGTACAATCAATGTATAACCAACTCATAGTCAACAACTCATATCTCTAGGTTTGAAGAATATAAGATATTATCGTCTCATGATCACACGTGATAAAATCCATGAAGTGATTCAAATGAGCGCGAGTTTAATCCAATACTCAGAACCTATGAGCACTCATGAATGTTGTAGCAACTCTTGCTATCTCCAACACCTTAGACATCTACAATCCAACTTCATGATTGCCTTGCCTTAATACATACTTCCAACGTATTATCAACTGTGGATGGTTTGAATAACTTAGTCATTCAGGAAGAATGACCTAGTTATTATGGAAGTCAAAACATGCAAAGTGAAGCACAAGAATAATCGAATCAAATCTGGTCTCAGAACTTATGAATATAAATAAACTACCTTTTATTTATCACCATATTGATTACACATTATTCATTATATAATGTTTCAATTAATCCACTTTATACTTGTATCAAAACAATAGTCATGCCATGCTCTAAGCATACACACTATATTTGTCCAAACAATAGTCACTACTAGAAAAACAGCCTTTTACGACGCTCATTGCGCGTCGTAAAAGGGTCAGACGACGCGCAAATGCACGTCAAGGAAGGCCCTGTCATAAAGAGAGACGACACGCTTTTGCGCGTCTGTCGTCTATAGACGACGCGCATTTACGACGCGCAATTACGACACGCGTTTACGACACGCAATACGTATCAAGGAAGGCCCTGTCATAAAGGAATACGACACGCATTCGCGTGTCGTAACCTTACGACGCGCGTGTTAATGACACGCAATGCGTATCAAGAAAGCCCCTGTCAAGAAAGGCCATGTCATAAATGAAGATGACACACATTTTTGCGTATCGTAAATTTAAATGTTTAAAAAAATTTTATATATTTATTAATTTTTAAATTAAATTTGCATTTAATTTCTCATAATAGAAATAAAATATCATATACAAAAAATACAATCCATTTTGCATAATATAAAATAAAATTTCATACTCAAAAAATAAAATAAATTGCACAAATTATAATGTCATACAAAGAATCATTCAAATGTTAAACAAAAATAATACATTGCTAACATGGGTTATACATTCCTATAAAACTAACAAATAATCATACAACTCTGTTTCTTATTGGAAAGGAATGCCAAACATGATTACAAGTCTCCCTTAATCTTGATTACTCACCTAGCTACTTAAGTTGAATGTTGTTGTTGAGAAGGTTACCTAGCAATAGAGAAAAACACAACACTTCTCCCACAATCACAACATCATTTACAGAAAAAGGGTTGTCAATTACTTTCATTAATACTTTCATTCAATCACAAAAATATTAAATAAAAGGGTGAAAAAAAATAACTTACTTTTGATATGTTGATCTCCCTTAGAGCAAACACAGCTAAAGCATTGAACAAGACCCTATTTCAAAATTTTGTAAATAAACAAATCATGATACCTGATATTGGAATACACACTTTGAGACATGAATTAATACGAGTAGATTAACCTGGATACATAGGAAGTAAAGATGGAAGGTGCCAGAACTCCGGGGGCATTGGTACCTCATCTTACCAAAACAAGTTTATGTTTTTTGGAAATAGTGAAGCCAAGTAACATAATACCTGAAAATCCCATGAAGAGCAAAGTAATTATCTATTGTTATTAGTAATAATCCCATTTCTAGACCCTATAGGAAATAATATTCCAGTAAGTATTCCCTAATGGATGCCATCTTATCCGACCTGATTCTGCTAAATGTAGAGGAAGAGGAAACTTGTGTCCTGGATATACAGGGTCCAGAATCTTGGGAGATACACCAAATGGGATATCGAATCTGACTTCAAATGACATTGTTGTTGCATTTGTGAGTATGACCTGGCATCAAAATAGAATCTTTTTAGAGAAAATAGCTAGAAACCATTACAAGTGTTCTGAAAGTAACCTCAATCAAGGATTATGTAACATTGATATTGAGATTCATTGAAACCAATTATTATTATTAATGGTGACAGGTGTGTGAAAATTTTGAACTTTTAGTAGGATAATGTAAAAATACCTACCTCCATTGCTTTCAATAATGATTCATCCTGAACAATGCATAATGCTAAAGCAGAAGAAGCATTGAGGTTTTCCAGAATAGGAAAATAATAAGTAGGATAGAATGGCACAAACAAGTTTATCTGCAGGAAGTCACACATCAGTCAGTCAGTTATGTGAAATGTGAGATGTTGAGTGAAAATGAGAGAGAAAATGCTGACAGGTGACCTGGAAGTCGACTAGTTTAATTTCCAAGAGATCATACAAATCTTGAATTTGAGTTCCTTCTAGAAGCTCACTTGAAGAGTTGTCATCTATTAAATTCCTCATGAATTGAGAAGGTACGTTGATATCTGGTGCAAAACAGCTAACATCATGATTGGATGAAAAGGTGACAGCTATTAATCCAAGTACCTGTGTATGTTAAGGTTTGAAGTTAATACAAATACAAATAATAATAATGTGAACCTCGTATGACAATTTAAAAAGAAATCAATACCAATTTATGTATCTCTGACTTCCCATTCTCCTAGTGAATAATTATCTTGATGTTTATTAAACTAATATCCCACATCATTCTCTTCCGACCTGACAACATGTATCTACAAAACAAAACAAGAGAAAATAGATATGTGTAGTTTAAATACAATGTTGCTTGCTACTAATCCCATTTCTAGACCCTAAAGGAAATAATATTATTCCAGCAGTAAGATCATAGGAGAAGACATACTCGGCTTTTGATGTTAGAGGTGACTTCATGTCTTTTATCCCATTAAGCGAGTTTAGGACCTGTAACATGAAATCAGTTTCTCAAAAACCTCATAAGTTAATCATATAGAATCTATTAGTTGCATTTCATATTAATGGAATAATGAATTCAATATCTACAGCTAAAGAATACATCTACTTTGAGACATGTAACAATTAAAAAATCATGCAAGTACTTCAAAACATGTAAACTAGAATAACACTCACCCTTCCTTCATGAGATTGAAAGGAAGCCAACACAGTATATAACTCCACAAAATTAACAAGATAGGTTGGATCACATGTCATTTCAATCGACTCAAGCAAAACCTAAAAACAAAGTTAAGGGTCATTGTCATTATCAGAAGTTTACAGCACAAGATATTTATAAAAAAATGCAAGTTGGGTACCTCCCAAATCATGCACTACATTGTGTCTTCAAGGCAGCATCTTCATACCCTGAGGTAAACATTATAAAACTTATTTTTTTTACCCTTTTCACATAAATAAATTTGTGTGAGGAGAGTAACATAAAAACTACTTACTCTTTAAATACTTATCATGCTCATCAGCTTCAAATTGCTAATTGTTGAAATACTTCACAGTCTAAAGGAGAAAAAATAAGTTGTAAGATAAAGAAAAAATAACGAAAGGTAATTGTAAAGAAGCAAGAATATGTTGTTACCCTTAAAATCCAAACAAAGATTGGGGAGAACTATCCAAGCTTAGATGTGATCAAGTGCATCCTACCAAAAAGCTAAAAAAATATATAAACAAATTGTTAGAACAAAGACAATCGATCACCTAGTCCACTTATCAAGAAGATGAAATACTAAAATAACACCAAACTTTAGAAAAAACTGGAAATCAAAGCACTTACACATCACTAAATATGAATATGATGGAATGGAATCACAAAAGTATGGAATGGAATCATGGATTCTTGTAACATGATAATGAAAAAGGGAAATGTGCATGTCCTTTGGGGTTTAAAGGCGATGATGTGAAAACTTGTGAAGGTAAATAAATTTTATATTTTTGAAATAATGAAATGGTGGATGGGTTTTAGAAGGGTAATTTGGTAATTAAGATGAATTATTGAACATAGATGTTGATGAATGTAAAGTGAAGAAAGCATGTCATTGTCGAGAATGCAGTTGCAAGAATACTAGGTTCGTGGAGACATTTGCTAATGTGGCTGAGAAAACTGTGTTGGCTGACTTTGACCAGGGGGCATGCATTGTCCCCGTGGACGAAATTGCCCTTACTGAGGTGGAACCAAAAATAGAAACTGCGGCAAAGTGAAACCATCAATATTCACCTATAAACATCTATTGAACAATCTATCAAGATTCAAGATCCAATTAATCATTAACCACCTCTTCCAGAGCATCAATGGCGGCTGGAACAAAATCCTTCAACTCTTACTTCCACAACAAAGGGGAAAAACATCTAATTTACTCTATATTTGATTAAAAGAATTTGAAAAACTCTTATAACCATATCTATTTACTCTATATTTGATTACAGAAAAGTTGCCATCAATAACAAAAAATGTAATTTCACACATGAAAATTGTCAATATCATAAACGTTTACCTGGAACAACATAATTATTCAAAGCCAATATGCATGATGCTGACTGGCTATGATAATGAATAGTATTTGCACAGACTACAAGAACTCCACCAATTGGAGAGGGCACAACAAGAAGCTTATTTGAAATCATTTGGAAGATTCTGATACACACAACATATGAAATTCAGTAGAAACACAAGAAAACGAAAACTGTAACTATATAGTGACTGACTCAAAAACATATTTAAAAGAACTGAAGGAGCGACTTGAACAGTGGAAGAAGAATCATTGATAGAGAAAGCATGAATTGGCTCATCCACATATTTCATAAAGCTATCAATAGTAGCTATATATTGGTGTTTGCTGTTATGAATGAAGCCACAAACCTATAATTAATACATGAACTCAACTGTTAGTCACATATTGCATTCCTTTGTATGTGTGTGTGTGTGTGTGTGAGAGAGAGAGAGAGAGAGAATGGTTAGAACCTGGTAAAAATGAGCTTTTTCACACATGTATTATAGCTATCTATCATCCAAATCTATCTCTGGGAAAACTTCCAAAAGTGCTAGAACCTATTTTTCTCTTTTTTTACTAATATCATTATTTTTGCACTCAATATTTAGCGGAATGCAGCATCTAATGTCAAATACTCGAATATATGACCTACTAATTCCTTTGAGATTTTAGCCTCTCCACAGGGCATAAAAATAGAAATAAACTCAAGTATACGACCTGTATCGTCCTTTGAAGGCCATGTTCTAATAACTTTTCCTGTTTTGATAACAATAACAAGAACATATACAGTCTTTAGGACAGATCTTGACTTTGAGATCTAGAATTCTTTGGTGTTGGATCGATAAATGCACATCTCAAAATATCAAATGTTGGTTCAGTGTCCGATTCTAGGAGATGATAGAGATTCTTACAATTCGATCTCTTAGTGGCTCCACAATGATATCACATAGTTGATTTGGTTCCTGTAAACACATTAAACATTTATTATTATCTAATAATAATTTTAAAAAAAAGTGTTTATTAGATGATAGACATACCACATCAAGAGGCTCAATGAGTGTTGTTTCTAACCTGGACTCTGAAACACTAGGTCTATATACGTTTTCAATGAATGGCTCCCTTAGATCCCATAAAATTATCTTAGTTCCTGTAAAATGTTAAAAGTTATCATGGAAGAAAGTTAAACTCAGATCTTGGATATAACTAATACCTGACCATGATATGATAGATTTTGAAAAATGTTCTCACCTGTGAACTCACAAATCCGGTCAATGGCTGCATTAATGTCTTTCCTACTTCCATCAAAGCTTTCTTTTCTCAAGTTGTCATCTGTAGACCTCTCTGTGAAATACATCCTTAGATATGATTATGAATATTTCATTTTTAGATGGTATAAACATAATAATAATTTTGAAGTAAAATAATGTTCACTCTAGACTACACGTACTATTGGATTTCCCTTGCTTCTGCTTCCTTATCCAGCGTTCCCAAATGCTATCCTTTTCCTGAACAGATGCCCCTTTCATTCAGTTCTGTTTTAGTAGTTTTATTACAGTTTTATGGTTTTATGGTTTTGTGATTTGATCTTACCTACAATTGTAGCTGCTTCACAAAACCAAGATTGTCTTTGAAGAACTCAACACTTTGATCATAGGAAGCAAGCATGCCCACGTTCAATGCCATTGCCCTAACTACAGTTTTATGATGAATGTAATACTAAAAATCAGAAATCGGCATACTAATTTCATAAATTGAACCCATAATTGCGTTTTGAAACTACTGGATTGCAAAAATAAACTCGTTCCAGGTACCGATTTGGAACTATCTTGACTTCGTACCGATTTACAATCCGGGAATCGTTTGGAATGCTTTCGTACCCCGATTAGGTACGAATCCATTTGGTACGGGGTTCGTAGCCATCTGAGCGAATTTGAAACTATGGGAAAAACCCTAACTAACCACAAATTAATCGGTTTTCACTGAAAAAAGGCAGAAATCGAGAGAGTTGGAGTTTACCTGTATAAACGCTTGGTATGGTACCGCCGATCCACCGTCTTCTTCTACCACCAGTGTTAGTAACCAATACGTCGAGAAAGCATCGATACAGTAGAACCGTAGCCGATGGGGAAGAAAACTGATGAATTGATGAAGGAGGTGTAATAGGTATTTGATATAAGAGACGGTGAAAACATAATTTTTGATGGGAACCATGTGTGGTCGCGAAGGGGCTGAAATCAATCATACAAGAGCACCACCACATCTTCCCCTTCGTTGCTCTCTTTTTCAGGGTCCAAGTAGATCATTCTCACTGGCGACGATGGAGGCGAGAATAGTGGTGGTCTGAAGATTCGATGACGGTGCGTTTCTAGAGACAAGGGATAAGAAGGTGGGGGTTTAAAAAATTGATCCATAATTTTAGTGTGAGGGTCGATTTGGAAGAAATCTCAAACCCTTAACCTTAAACATGATGTGAAGCAATTGATCCATAATTTGAGGCTAGTAGAGGAAATGAGCGGTGGAGACGAGGGAGAAGAAGGTGGGGGTTTAAAAAATTTGGGGATTTCATTTTCCCTCCGAGACGCGCGTTTCTTAAAAAAAATATAAAGCGACATTCACAGACGACGCACAAGCGTCTTCCGTGTTTTTAATATTTTTACATGAGACACTAATTTAAGGGCACTTGGTAATACGCGACCTAAATCCTTAAAATTATTGAAGAGATGACACTTTTTTAATGTCGCTCTCTAATGCGTAACATAAATCAAAGAGCGTCGTGTTTTGCACGTCGTAAAAGGGTCTTTTTCTTGTAGTGAGTTATGTCGTACACCAAGTATACACACTATGTTTGTCTATGATCTTTACTTTGTGGAATAGATCGATTGGACATAATTCCAATGATTCTCATTTCACAATCACAAATCCTTACTGCAAATGTAAGAATTCCAAATTCCTTCCATTTACCGAAATCCGTTAGATTTTAAACTTACATGCACTGATCCTCTTGTAATGATTTTGCACAAAGTCACAAAGACTTGTCAATAGACATTACGAAGTATTCCAATGGAGATCAATCCCATGGAAATGAAGTCTCACATTCAAAATACATTTCTTGGAACATCCTTCTTGCATTAAGGTTTCTAATCTTACACAAATTGAATAACTTCCACCGATGGAGACATCTCTATATTCCCATTTTGACTATCTCTTCTGAACAAGAGTTGCCTCTTTTCAGAATATGTCAATATAGTCCATAAAAAATTTACAATATTCTTCCAATTGTCCATGAGCAACCAATCTTTGGTACTAAACCTTAGATTGTCCTCGACATTGGCTTAATCATTTTAGTCAAATCCAATTCTAGATTTTTCCCTTCTTAATGCCCTAGGCATTTGGAAAATTTTGAAAGGATAAATATTATACCACATGTAATTGATCCTATATTTGAAGCACATGGGACACGATTCATGATATCTCACATAAAGACATGATCCTAGATCAGTCTTTTCCTACAATATTTTTTATTTGCTATGTTTCTATAATTCGACTATGAAGAGGGATGCCGTAATCATAATCGAAATTTGAGAATGCAATATATATATATATATATATATATATATATATATATGTATATATATATATATATATATATATATATATATATATATATATATATATATATATATAGAGAGAGAGAGAGAGAGAGAGAATTTCCTTAAGTTTAACCATTCTAACATAAAATTCATATATATATATCTTTGACAAAAGATGATTAAAATCTAAATCTAAGCTTTTTAGCATTGAAATGAAGTATAATTTCCTCTCCCTTAATTATTGCAAAACAACTTTTCCTAATTTAATTTTTTTTTCTATAATTAATATTGTTAACTTGCAACACTTATCATAATTATCATGCTCCCACTAACATGATAATTATCACCTTTATGCTCCCACTAGCTTTGATATGTACTAAAAAATCAGCTGGAATTTTAGAAATCAGTACTTTATTGACTCTCTTACCAAAGTTCAGACTTCTAATACGAGATGATTTGGTTAAACTTTATCAAAATCATACACCTTTCCTTAGATAGCACACATGTGTGTCTAAAAAATTTCAGAACTATGAAAATGGATGCCGTAATCATAGTCTTAATTTTTAGAGCTTTGCCATTCCTCAAAAGTCCATGTTAGTGTACTGGTTAACCATACACGCTCCACTAACGACTTTGAGAAATGTAAATATTAGAATTGCTATCTACTTAAAATCACTTATTGAAAGCGTTTCCTCACCATCATTTTCATGAATATGAGAGAAACCTTATGACACTTAAATTTTATGGTGTATATGATTCTATTCATGTGAATTTGTCAAAACCGTAATCACAAGAGAAGATTAGTGACAAATCCAAACTCATATGGACTGAACTCGCGCAGTCTTAACTTCTTGTCACCTAGCAGCACAAGGGCCTGTCATTGCTTCCAAGTTTTTATGCAACCAATTAAGAACTCTTAGAACTCATATGTGAAGCTAACGTTAACTATAATGGGCATAGAAATAGGAATATGTCAACACGATAGGTTATAAACCTCAATTCGTAATCAACTACATGTTTTATTCATGATTAGATCTTGAAACTCTTTCAGGATCTTTTAGACTCCCATTGTCCTCTTGACATATAAGACTCTCTAGCCAAGATCCATTCCTTGACAAAAAAAAATTCAAGAGATAGTGCGGATTCTTATCAAGACAAAGACTTCACACAATTTCCCTTAGTTGGTCTTTGTTTTATCCAAAACATCATAGTTTACCAATTTCAAATGTACAAGAGTAGAACACATTTTACTCTTACATTTGACAAGTGTTAATAAACCTTCTTTAAGATGTGTAACTCAAGTTACAATCTTGAAATATAACTCTAAGAGTTGTTTTGGAATGAAGTATGACGTATCTTCTTGATTTAACCATTTCAATAATTCATGACTCATCTTCTTAACCATAAGAATGCACTAAGATGTCCTTAGAGGACTAATTATGATATGGTCTCACAATCGTTAAGATGATCATAAAACATGAAACAAAACTACTCTCCCATCTTTTTAGATTTGAGAAACTTTTATCTTCCTGCCATATTTAATTCTTCTCATTCATTCTTCCATACATTAAACTTTTCCAATGCTTCAGAATTATACTTAAACTTGTAAGTATACCATGTTTACTAAACTTTAGTAAATCATGACAAATAGTCTTATCGAGCTTTTGTGGTGGACTTGACCAGTGTACAAGAATGTGTACTTGATCCCTTAGTCCCTCACTTGGCTCACATATACATGTGAAAAAGGAATTAGTCTTAATTTTCCAAATATGAAAATTCTCATTCATCATACAATACAAATTGCATGATTCCAAGTTTCGGTCCAATTGAAACTTGGGTGATGAGAATCTTTCCTTAATTGGTAAATTTAAACACTACCACAAATGCAAAAATCAAATTTATATTTCCATTATTTCTAGAAACAAACAAATGTCAATTTTCTATAAATGTCGTTGCAAGGAGATATAAAACAAAATTTTATTTATTTACTAAAATGTGGAAAAATGTTTTTCCTTACAATGCAACTTTAAATGAAAACTATGCTATTACATATTTCCTAGGAATCTATCATACCTCCTAAGTTGTAGCTCAAGAATCCGATCTTCGAACCATGCGATTGAAATCCATCTTCGCGATCAGATTCAACATACTCTTCCTTTAAGTTTCCTTCCTTTTGCTTGATCCTGCCAAACATCAAAATGTAACCTAGACACATTTTGTATTAAGAATCATCAATTAGGAACTTAATAGAGTTAGATAGTGGACTTACTTGATGCAGAGTCAAACTTTTTGATTCTTCCTTCTCTCAGATCTTTCAGGTAGCCAGGGCAGCTTCGCAATCAATTCCATTTTTCTTGATAATGAAAACATATAGACTCTTTGGGAATGGTACATGAGACTACCACATTCTTAGCCTTTTCCTTTACCTTTTGGTTAATCGGGTTAACCAAGGCTGATCCCTTTCCATTGGGAAGAGAAAGCTTTTTTGGACTTCCAATGTTACCATTGTCAATGTCCAAGGAAGTTTGAGAAATAGACCTTCCACCCATATATGCTTGACCAATGCACCAAATCATTTCTGATTCAGTAGAAACAAACAAATAAGATAGATATATTAGGGCCATTTCTTGATCTGTCACATAGTAGCTCTTAATGAACTCACTATACGACTCAGAATGTGACTGAAGAAACCAGTCAATAGACAACTTCCTTGGGACAGAGACACCCAACATTCTCAACCTGTCAATGTGTGACCTCATTTTCAAGACATGAGTACACAGGTCTTCCATATTTATGTTTCATTGCTAATAGGGCTTGAGTGACCTTAAACTTTTCAAGTGTTTGAGCTTATGGGTTAGGTAGAATAAATGGAGGAGATGGAGAAAGAGAAGTATGATTTCCATGAGATTTGGGAAGATCATAGTTGTCTGAACCAAATGACTACAATGGGAGAAATTCAAGTTAGTAGATTTAAGTCCTTAATAGAACACCCAATATGAAATACTAAGGTTAGGACCCAACACAATATTTTATAACTTGGAAGAGGGATGCCGTAATCCAAGCTATAAAATATTTGAAGGTAGGCGAATGACGATTCACCAATTTCCACCTTAAAAAATAAATAGAAATTAGGTTTTAATTGGTTTGAAACTCCTAGATCTTTTGAGATTCATTGAACTTTTCAATGGCATGTTTCAATCTTGATTGTGCCCTCTCAAGTTTTGTGATTGGGATGTCGAGGATCACAAAACAAGGTGTGAATAACCATGAAAATATACTTGGTAGTCTTAATTTTTACCACCTAATCGATGTGCTGGTTAACCACACGCGCTCCTCCAATTCTATGATAAAACTTAAGCCACGCTTTGACAACCTTGTTAAATCCAGGTTAGTGTGTCGGTTAACCACACACACTCTACTAATGACTTAAGCAAGTGCAAAGTGTAATTTCATGGGTTAGCACCCAATTCACATTTTCCTAAACTAACTAATATTGAGAATTTATAAAAGGTTTAGTTACTTTATATTTATCATTATACGTATAATGAAGGGAGAATTAGAGTACTGTCAAAACCGTTTGGATAACGGCCCTCTACCAGTCAAGGAAGCGGTAGGTGAGAGTGGACATCCATTAAGCTTCCATTTTATAGGCAGCAACCTTATACCCCCCTTACAGACCGACTTCATGAATAAGGCCTACTAACGGTAAGACTGACTTGATCTTATATATATATATATATATATATATATATATATATATATATATATGTATATATATATATATATAACTTATAATACTATAAAGTATAAGGGTTGAATTA